CATTAGTCTGTTCTCTGTATCTATGAGTCTGTTTCTATTTTGTTTGTTCATTTATTTGTTCTTTAGGTTCCACATATAAGTGAAATCATATGGTTTTGTCTTTCTCTGTCAGACTTATTTCACTTAGTATCATACCCTCTAGGTTCATCCATGCTGCTGCAAATGGTAATATTTCATTCTTTTTAATGATTGAGTAATACTCCATTGTATATATGTACCACCACTTTTTTATCCACTTGTCTATTGAAGGGCACGTAGGTTGCTTCCATATCTTGACTACTATAAATAATGCTATGATGAACATAGGAATGCATATATTCATTGAATTAGTGATTTGGGTTTCTTTGGATATATACCCAGAAGTGGAGTCACTGGGTCAAAAGGCAGCTCCATTTTTTAATTTTTTGAGGAACTTCCATGCTGTATTCCATAGTGGTTGCACCAATCTGCATTCCCACCAAAAGTGAATGAGGCCTCCCATTTCTTCATATCCTCACTAACACTTGCTATTTGTTGATTTATTGATGGTAGCCATTCTAACAGGCATGAGGTGATATCTCATTGTGATTTTAATTTGCATCTCTCTGATGATTAGTGACATTGAGTATGTTTTCATATATCTATTGGCCATCTGTATATCCTCTTTGGAGAAGTGTCTATTCAGGCCCTCTGCTTATTCTTTTATTGGATTTTTTTGGGGGTTTGGGTGTTGAGTTATATGAGTTCTTTATAAATTTTGGATATTAACCCCTTATTGGATGTATCATTGGTGAATATCTTCTCCCATCAGGTAGGTTGTCTTTTCATTTTGTTGATAGTTTTCTCTGCTGTGCAAAAACTTTTTAGTTTGATGCAGTCCCATTTGTTTATTTTTGTTGTTGTTTTCCTGACCTGAGGAGATATATCAGAAAAAAATATTGCTAAGAGAAATGTCAGAGATTTTACTGCCTATGTTTTCTTCTAGGAGTTTTATGATTTTGAGCCTTATAGTTAAGTCTATAATCCATTTTGAGTTTATTCTTGTATATGGAGTGAGAAGGTGGCCTAGTTTTATTTTTTTGCATGTACCTGTCCACTTTTCCCAACACCATTTATTAAACAGAATGACTGCCCGGCTGGGCGTGGCTCAGCAGTTGAGCGTCGACCTGGGATCCAGGCGATCAGGGTTCGATTCACGGTCAGGGCACATGCCCGGGTTGCGGGCTCGATCCCCAATGACTCTCTCATCATTGGTGTTTCTATCTCTCTCTCCCTCTGCTGCCCTCTCTCTGGAATCAATAAAAAAAAGATATATAAACAGGCTGACTTTACCCCATTGTTATACTTGCCTCCTTTGTTGTATAGTAATTGACCACATAGGCATGGGTTTATTTCTGGGCTCTTTATTCTGTTCCATTGATGTAAATGTCTGTTTTTATGCCAGTACCATACTGTTTCGATTACTATAGCCTTGTAGCATAGTTTGATATCAGTTACTGTGATATCTCCAATTTTGTTCTTTCTCAAGGTTGCTGTGGTTCCATATAAATTTTTGGATTGTTTGTTCTAGTTCTGTGAAAAATGCAATTGGCATTTCTATAGGAATCCCATTGAATCTATAGATTACTGTGGGTAGTATGGACATTTTAATGATGTTAATTCTTCCTATCCATGAGCAAAGTATATGCTTCCATTTATTAATATCTTCTTCAATTTCTTCAGTGTCTTATAATATCCTGCGTACAGGTCTTTATTTCTTTATGAGTCTTGTTAAAGGTTTTCATTCTTGCTTATCTTTTCAAAGAACCAGCTCTTGGTTTCATGGATCCGTTATATTATTTTATTAGACTGTATTTTATTTCTGCTCTGATTTTTATTATTTTCTTCCTTCTACTCAATATGAGCTTTGTTGTTCTTTCTCTAGTTCCTTTAGGTGTAAGGTTAGATTACTTATTTGAGATTTTTCTTGTTTCTTGGGGTAGGCCTATATTGCTATGAATTTCCTTCCCTCTTAGGGAAGGACTGTTTTGCTGTGTCCCCTAGATTTTGGGTTGCTGTGTTTTAATTTTCATTTGTCTCAGGTATCTTTTGATTTCTTCCTTGATGTCATTGTTAATCCACTCATTGTTTAGTAACTTGTTATGTAGCCTACATATGTTTATGTGTTTTTTAGGGTTTTTCTTTTTGTTTGGTTTCGTTTTGTTTTTTTTTTGTAATTGATTTCTAGTTTCATACCATTGTGGTCAAAGAAGATACTTGATATGATTTCAGTCTTTTAAAATTTATTGAGACTTGTTTTGTGGCCTAACGTGTTCTATCCTGGAAAATGTTTCATGTGCACTTGAAAAGACTGTATATTGTGACAGTTTGAGGTGAAATGCTCTGAAAATATCAATGAAGTCCATCAGGTCTAGTGTCATTTAAGGCCATTGTTTCCTTATTGACTTTCTGTCTGGAAGATCTATTCATTGATGGAGTGTTAAAGTCCCTTGCTGTGACTGTATTACTGTTGATCTCTCCATTCATGTCCAGCAATATTTGCTTTATATATTTTAGTAGTCCTATATTGGGTGTATAAATGTTTATATCCTCTTATTAGATTGACCCCTTTATCATTATGTAATATCCTTCTTTGTCTCATAACTTTTGTTTTAAAGTCTATTCTGTCTAATAGAAGCATTGCTACCCCTAGCTGCTCTGCTCTTGATGGATTTTACGTTGCTCCCATTTTGGGTGTTTTATGATGGTGCTGCTGTGAACATTCTTCATCTCCTGGTGCTCACATGCAGAATTTCCCCAGGGCTTGAATTGCTGGGTATGGTAACCTCCAACTTCACTAATGCCAAATTGTTTTCCCGAGTTATTTTATTGCACAAATTTACATTCCCACCATTAGTGTATAAGAGTTTCAGTTCTACATTCTTTCAACACTTGATATTGTCAGATTTTCCATCTTTGCCACTTTGGTGGTGTAAACAGAATCTCTTTAGTTTTTATTTGCATTTTCTGATTACAAAAGAAGTTGACCCTCTTTTCCCAGGTTTGTTGGTCACCCAGGGTATTTCTGAGAAGTGCTCATTCCAGTCTTTTGCCTCATTCTTTTAATTACCCAGGCAAGAGTCATTTGAATCGCTTACTATGCGCCAAGTACTATCACAGCCTAGAGGATACGAAGGTAAATATAACATGGACCCTGCCCTCACGGAGCTCTTCGCTTGCTATCACTTTATTGCCTTCAAAGATAATATTATTATCAAGACCAAAAAATAGCAACAATTTTTGACCACCAATTATATGATTATTACTTTGCAAGGCAGAAGTATATTTTATGAACTCTGACCTCAAGGAATGTACAAAAACATAACTTACACAAAATAATAGCAAAGTATTTAAAGTACTGTATATTATAGAAATTCAGAGGCTATAATAAGCAAGAAAAAAGCTAATGGATCAAGTAGGTCTATGGTTTGAATTTAAATTGCTTTCCTTTTAGGTAACTAAAGTACAAATAATTTTGTCTACAGCCTACTCAGTAAAGGAGGAAAATGAAAAAAACATTTCTAAGTCATAAAATAATAGTGATCAACATGGAGATGTAGCAAAGATTATTTTTAAATACATAAAATCATTAAAATTGTACCTAAGAAAAACACTTTCACAAATCAACATGCTTATTCATAAATGCAGGAACACTATGTTTGCTGTTAAACTTAATTTTTAGTTTAAAATTTCCACATCTTCTATGGAATCTGGTAACCCCCAATAAGCACCAAATTTGTAATGCATAGAATTCAATTATACATTGAAAGGGAACCTGAAATGTCCTACAGTTCCTTTTTTGCTTCTATGCACTATCCCCCATAAGCCGCCCTTATTTGTAGAAGACTGCTCCAAAGGAGATGCCTTAGTGCCACCAGAAAAGCTGTTGTAGTGTGGGGGCTCTTAAAGAATGTTAAAATGAGTTATTAAGAGAAAACATAATAAACCAACTATTTGGTAATTAACCAACTATATCATTTAAAAACCTTAGATTCATAAATGAAAACAGCATAAAAACATCTCCAATATACACAAATAATCTATATAGCACAAAATCTGACTTTATAGAACTTGATTCTAAGCATGATGCAAAATAGGTATAATCTCTTCTAAGATAATTTTCCTCCTGTTATTAGTCAAACAAAGCTCAGGATTGAACAAAGACTTTATAAAAGTAATGCTTGTATAAACTTCCAGATTGTCTTCTAAAGCTGGAAAATGCAGTTTTGTAAGTGGCTTAACGTGGTTTTGGACAAATAAATGTAGAGTACGTTCGGATCAGGAATCCTCGCGGTGTCCTCGAATGTAGCTAGTACACGTAACAGGTGTCACGTATCTGAAACCTTAGAGTAAATAACACTTACAGACGAATTGTACTTTTACGGTTAACACAGACAAACAGCCACGAGAAGAAAAAAAGCAGAATAAACGCGATTTGTGTTTTAGGTTGCAAGACCAAAAAAAGTGTCTTCCCTGACCGGGAATCGAACCCGGGCCGCGGCGGTGAGAGCGCCGAATCCTAACCACTAGACCACCAGGGAACCTGACAGGGAGGTTTCCTGAGTCACATTTGGTGCCTTTAAACAAAAATACGCCACGGAACCCCGGCCAATGGAAAATGAGGTTTCTGTCTCCAGGCTCCACCCCGCTCCCTTCCCGTTCCAGGTCCCAGTCGCCTGAACTGGGCGACCCCGCCGCGTGGCCCGCGGGGCGCCCGAGCGGCTCCCCAAGAAGGAAGCTGGCCCCTCCGAGTCCAGATCCCCCCCGNCGCCGGGCAGACGCGCGGGCTGGCATCCTAGTGACGGGCGTGCGGTGTCCGCCGAGACGGGCGTTGACGCGCCGCCCGGCCCCTCTCCCCGACCACCCGGCCCCTGGCTCTGCGCGCGCTCCGACTCTCCCCGCGGCGGAGGCTCCGTCCCGCCGAGCGTGTCGCTAAATCCGACGGTCGGGCGCCGGCGCCGGAGGGCGTCTCGCTCGGNGCCGCTGCGCGAGGCTCGCGCTCCGTGAACGCGGGTGACGAAGGCCCCGGCCCTACAGACGCGGGATAGATGCCCCGATTATGTCCCCGTGAGGCAGGCTCACGCAGCTGAGCGAGCTGGGGGGTGCCTGGGGAGGAACCGGGGCGTTTGCAGCCGGACCCAAAGAAACTCTTCAAGCCCATTGTGTCCATTATCCTCATATTTTTAAACTTATTCTCTGGGCCATGGCTGCATCTCCGCGTTTCGTACGAGGCACTGCCAGGAAATGATGTCACAACCAAATGAGGCAAGAAATCAGCCTCGACTCGAGGGCGCTCCTGAAATTCGAGCAGAGCCACAGGATGTAACTCGGCTCTGAAAGCGCCCGACCTTACGGGCTACCCCGCTCCTCGGCCAGACGCGGGGAGGCTTAGGTGAAACATCCAGATGTGTGATGAACTCGCTCACCGCACGGGCAACTAAGTCACAGCCCTCATCCCTCGCCGCAGGACTGAGGTGAGCCGGTGCCTGCCAACTGTTCCTTGTTCTCAGCAACTCGGAGGTGGAGTTTAGGTTGTTGATACAATTTACGTAAAGTTACTCAATAACACGCGAACAGGTGTTACTGTATTTTAGATGAGACACACACCTCTATCCCGCACGGACGTCTCAGGAAATTGAGTTCAATAGCTGGAGCTCTTTCCTCTCAATAGAGAGAG